AGATAATGAAATATGGGTTTTTAAAGCATGATAATCAAGTTACGAAACCATTAGTCCTAACCTTTCGATCAAGGGTCATTAACGTTTAACCTCTATTTAAAACATTATTTTAAAGCAGTAACTTCGAGCTTTTCTCTCTTACTGATTGAACAGGAAGAAATGATCATAACCAGTGTGCTGGCAGAATCCTATGCTGTCCAAACCAGCCTCCAGACGGCGTCCATTCGGGAACCGAAAGTCCATCAGGCCTTTTCCATTCGCATCCACGCCTAGTTCTTCGACCACCGAGGCCACTCTGCCTGTCGGCAGGATGGTGATGGGGTCGGATTCGAGGAAGGAATTTGCTCGTAGACAGAGCCTATGACTGGCGAGGCTACGTTTACCGGCCAAATGCCCGCATAGGTTCCAATAAGAATGATTGGTCAAATTAACCGGGCACCATGAGTCTGCGGGCCCGGAAAGGCTTGCCGTGTATCGCAGCTGCAGCTCTAGTCCGTCAACGACAGTCTTCTTCTCCTTCTCCGCCTCAGAGACTCCTTCAGGTGTACTGACTCCAGAGAAGACAGGCCTGAGAAGACGATATTCTAGGCTAACCGACAATTCTCCAGGAAACCCGTCTGCCAAATGGGGAGAGACATAGTGCATCACGACATGATGGTCACTATGCTCAAGCACAGACCAATTCACAAATGAAAGGCCTTTTCTGTAAGCAAAGTAAAATATAACAAAAATTAAGACAGAAAAGGTATTTTTTCAAGTATGCCCGATAAAGATAGTAGATGCGAAAACAAGGTCGAACCAACATCATACCTGATATAATCTAGTTTTTGGGTCGTCGTCCGTATTTATGAAAATCCATTGAGCCGATGAAGGTTATGCTAATAATAACCTGGATGTTGGACCGAATTTCTTTGAAAGGTGAGAATGTTGAGAGATTACCTTATACTACTTTAATTTATGCTGTTTATTGAGGTTTTATGAAATTTACTGGCACTACGAAGTCGGCAACCCAACACTGTGATTTCTGGATTGCAGGCTCTTCGGGCTACCTAACATATTGAATGCATTTTAGTAATTACTATAATGTAAGTAGACTCTTTTAAGTTTACTTTGCTAAAAGATGGAAACTTTACTGATTGAATCAACGATTTAATTCACGTAAATGAGCAGCGGTTCATATTGGGTATTCTGTTTTTATGCAACATCAGTTAAAGCTGTACAGATTATACAATAAATGGCTAAAGAAAAGACAGATGTTTACCTTATTAATTATACTACTACTAGTAACCAAACCTAGTTATACTAAATTAGACTTAAAAATAAATTTATTTGATTAGAAAACACTATTTAGGCTTTTTGTATAGGCATTCAAAATGGTATAAAAAGATTTCGCAAACAAAGGTTTAAAATTTTCAAATATCAACCCACTACTTTCCCTTTTATGCTTTGGCCTATACCATGGAAATGTCAAGGTTGGCCTAACCTTAATAGTGCTGTAGTAGCATGAGCACGGAAGCCTGATGGAACAGCTGCTTCTGCATTCAAAAGAGCAATCTCACGAAATAATAATTTTAGAGCACTCAGCTTCATTATGCTCCTGTTTCTCTTGTTTGTACATCAAGTTTTAAGATAGTGAAGTAAAAAGATATACATAATTTAGCTAAAAAGTCAATGTTTGGTCGAATACCAATTCGCAGTAATTCACCCATCTTCTTCGACAGATTACACGAAGGCAACATAAAGACTCTGTTAAAGTGGTTTAACATTTTAGCTAGCCCCAAATATGTATTTACCTCCTTTCCATTTGAGAATATTCTAAAATAGTTGTCCAGCATGAGTTGACATTTGATAAAAGATACAACATTCTAATTGATGCAGGAGTACCTTTCATTTCGTCTGAAGAGGCGAGTGAAAGGAATTCATAAGTTTGTCTCACCGGAAGCTGTGTGTGAATTGCCTTAAGGCTGTGCTTGTAGATTTGTGCGAATCGGTACTCGGCGCCCACACCCAGCGACCCCGATGGATTCTTGGCTAGCTTTCGTCCGTCATGTGACGGACGTCGTCAGAGCAGGACGCCATGCTTAACGATAATTCACCAAAATCCCAAAGGCAAGAAAGGTGGCCAGCTTCAAACCTACTTCTTTCTTATATTCCAATTTGGTCCACTTATGCAACACATATTTGGGTTGGATGTCCTATGCTTTGCCTCATTAGTTATATTAAGTGGTTGCGGATGGCATGTGAAGCGGCTGAAGATGGAGCGTGAAACAGATGCAATTGAAACTGAACATCTGCATCCTCCCCTAAAACACGTATGCCTTTGATCATGTAATGTTACCGCATGTGATTGCGTCCAATTACACACGTATTGTGTGAGTGCATTGCTCTTGAAATGAAGTTGATGTGAGTGGCAAATCCAACTTCCAGCTTCATCAAGCCTCCTCCTCTTGCTCGGTGGTAATTCTCGCTCCACCCTCCTCCTTCTCTCTATAAACCTATCCGACAGCCACAAGTAATTTTCACTTAAATTCCAACACTCATTCCTTCTATTCAGGGTGTTGGCTGTTTTGTCGATTTCTATCGCCTCCCTAATCTTTCGCTTACTGATTGGTACAGTCTCCATATCCAACTGAGCGTTTGGTATTCGACAAATCTATCTGGTGTCTTGTGCGAGCCATGTGTTCGGCCAATTCCGATTTTTGGACCCACATTCCCTTGCAGAATGTTTTGTGTTCGGATAACCTCTTAAGCATGGGTCTACAGGGCTCTCCCACACTGGGGCTACCACATGAATATCATACCTTGTTACAGCCCGATCTGGAAAGAGGGTCAGATTATCCTGGAAAA